CAGCAAAAAAGAACCTCAGGGGAAAAAAATCCCAGACACCTATCTGATATTCAAAAGAATAAATATATTCCTACCATCCTTGAATGGATAAAGAATCCTTATGGTCCCCACAGGCAGTCAAAGAAATACTTCCAGCACAAATATTATTAAGGAATTTCTCCTGATGTTCCTTCTTCACTTCTGGCCATAAGAGTAACAATGGCTGTAGGGTGGTATATGAGGAGCTGGACCACATTTCAGCACTGCTGATACAGTGATCAAATGTAGGTGCCGTAGCACACATGTCACAGCATTAGGAAGCATAAAGCCACTCCAGAATAATTCCTGATAAGGCTGAGAATCATCCTGGTATTGTTATTTAGCAACTGCTCTGCAAACACAAGAAGGGAAGCCTTGCTCACTAAAATGCAGGGTATGAGACAAGCAAAGCTCTGAATGCCACAGCCTGTGAAACACTCATCTGCTGTCTTCATCTGCCTTTGCAGGGAACGTCTAAATGCCTACCCTTAAAGGGAAGTCACTATTTTAAGGGAGTCACTATTTTACTCTGGGAGCACAACGATGAGAATTTCTACCAAACACATTCACTGTAATATAAAAACTTGAGGGTCAGATCCAAAAAGGGGGTAGAGGAGAAGTCATATAAAGTATATTTCCTTTTGCACCAGGTGGCAGATAGGAAGGCTGCGAGCTTCTCTGACATGAATTAAGCCTACTCTTTTGCACTCTGCCACTATCTCCAGCTCCTTCAGAAGTAAAGGATCAAAACTAAATAGTATCCTTTTCTGCTGATCACACCACCAAAGCAGTTTTCAGATTCGTGGGTTTATGCATGAGTTTCTTTGAATGCCTTTAAAAGCAACATGATATCATCTGCCCAGAAGAGAGCAGCATTGATATCCCGGGAAGGACAACCAAGGTATTCTCTCTTGCCAGACAGTGGGCTGGCTCGTATTTTCAGACAAAATATGGGGATCCAATTATTGTGCTGAAATTTAGGAATTATTTCTATTAATCAATTAATAACCTAAGCATTCTTTGTGTGTAAGAGGCATAAATCTGAGTCGGCCACGCAGTTTGTTTGTGTTAGAGCAACAGAAACTGTTCATAACGTTTGAGGCTTCAGTAAAAAGTACACTGTGCTATAGACAGGGCTGCCCTTGATGCACAGCAGATGTACCTCAATTAATCACAGAAACAATCTGCTGTTTGCAGGGCACTTTTGATGCATCCATTTTAAAGGGAATACACTCCAAAGGGACTGATGTTGACAGCTAAGTATACCTCTGTTACCTAACAAGCCTATGGATTTAGAGGAGAAATGGATATTCTGCTTAACTGAGCCTTCCTTCTTTTCTTCGGTGGGACAGCGTTGCCTCCTATTCGCACCTCTGCCAAGGATTTTCTGCGAGGCCGTGACCATGCCGCCGGGCAGAGCTGTGTGCTCAGCGCGCCTCTGCCCACGCTCCGCCAAGGCAACGCTGGCGGCGAGTCAGGCGCGGCTTGGCCCGGCCCCGGCCCCCGCCCTCGATCCCGGCCCCCTCCCCCGATCCCGGCCCCCTCCCCCGATCCCGGCCCCCGCCCTCGATCCCGGCCCCCGCCCCGGATCCCGGCCCCCGCCCCCGATCCCGGCCCCCGCCCCCGGTCCCGGCCCCCTCCCCCGATCCCGGCCCCGAACCCCGGCCCCGGGGCCCGGCCGGTGCTCCCCGGGCTGCGCTGCAATCACGCTGCGCTCCTGCCAGCACCCGAGCGAGCTCGTCATGCCGCACAGTAATTCGAGCAGGAGCACCCTCCTCCTGCAGGAACAGCCCTATGCCCGCTGAAGCACTGAATTCCCTCCCGCCCCCCCGCACAATAAAAGGTAATAAGTATGTTTTGTTGAACAATCGCAAATTTTCACAGCACTACCGTGTCAGACCAAGTACAAACCTCTTTATTTTCTTTTGTCTGCCATTGGAGCCGAACTACTTTTACGTTTCTCTGTGGGTGGTGGCCTGTGATCCCGCAGAGGGAAGGTAGCTTTCCTGAAGAGTGTGCTGAACAACTGTTGATCTCCCTTGTGAAATCCCATCTGCTGTCTGCAGCAACTCGCTGGCTGAACAAGATAATGTTTCCCCAGCAGTAGCTGTAATTTTCCAAGCACTTTGCTGGGTGCAAAGTCAGAACTTGATTCAAAAAAAGGACAAGCAGGGATATAACTTTGCTCTCTCCCTTCTGTTCTGCGTGTGTTATGAATTAAGCTGCTGGCAGTCAGGTAGAGCTGAGTCCTTGTGGGCTTCAGGCTTTGCTCAAGACCTGTAAAGTTGAAGAATAGTGTGCTAATTTTAAAGGTGGAATCTGGAAATGGCGAAGCCAATTTTTTGGTACAATTTTCTGTATTACTACTCCACATTTTTTACAATCTCCCACTTATTATTTAAATCATATCTAAATGAATGCTAGTTTACGGTGGAAACTAATCAGCAGAGGCTGAAGTTGGCAATATTTCAGTGTATTGGAAAAAGGTTCTTCACCCAGAGGGTGGCTGGGCACTGGAACAGGTTCCCCAGGGAAGTGGTCACAGCACCAAGCCTGGCAGAGTTCAGGATGCATTTGGACAATGCTCTCACACACGGTGTGACTCTTGGGGTGGCCTCTGCAGGGCCAGGAGTTGGGCTTTTTATGATCCTTGTGGGTCCATCTTTCAACACAGAACATTCTGTGATTCTGTGATTATGGCTGTAATGAATAATTTGGGGAAATTAAAAAGAAGATTGTGAGGACCTGAGGAAAAAAATATCCCGAACTAACCAAGCAAACTTAAATAGTAGCGCAACCGCCTCTTCTTCCTGCTTATGGGGAAATTCCTTGGATTTGAAGAACTGTACCTGAAACCACTCTCCCTCACTACTAGTGAGACGTTTCCCTCGTGCTAAACATTTGAGGGTTGGTTTTTTTCCCCCCAAGATGTGAGCGAAATGTGACATATACAAATATAAGCCGGGCTCAGCGTCAGACCCGCAGCTGGGTCCCGCGGGCGCGGAGCTGCCCTGCCCTGCCCTGCCCTGCCCGGCCCTGCCCGCTGCCGGCCCGGGCACGGGGCGGGCCCGCCGGCCGCCCCCGCCCCTCTCAGGCGGCGGAGAGTTGAAGCGGGGAGCCGGAGCTCGGCGCGGGGCCGCGGCCGCCGCGCTGCTCGGCCTGGGGAGCGCCGGCCCGCCGGGCGCCAGCGGGGCGGCCGATGGCGGGGCGAGAGGACGGGCGGGACTGGGCGTACAGGTAGGGCTGCCCACAGGGCTGAGCTCGGACCGCGCACGGAGGGCGAGCTGTGCCGTTCGGAGCTGGCCCTGCCGGGGGCTGCGGCCGGGACAGCCCCCACGGACCGGCCCGGGCGCGGCTGAGGGCAGCGAGCACCCACCGCAACCTGCCCTGCCCGAGGGCAGCCGGGGACGGCGGCTTCCCGAAAACCCTCCGTCCTCACTCTTTGTTTTTTTTCCCTTTCTATCTTCGGAATGGAGTGGAGCGTGAAATTAATCTGTATTTGCTGCCTGGGCAGTCGCAGTCGTAAATAAGAGATGTGTGTTGATGGACGTGTGAAGGGGTTTTGGTTTGTGTGTGTTTTCATGTTCTGTGTCTTCAGAGAAACCTGTGTCGGGGGTGTCATTGCTTTTTACACCTGTGGTTTTTGTGTCAGATTTGGGGAGTACATGAATGCTAAGGTGACTCTTCTAAACAGCCAACAATGTAATAACAATCTGAGGTCTGAATATTTAATTGTTCCTCGTCTGATTCATGCTTTACTACCTGTGACGCTCCCGTGAGCCAGTTTTCCCAAGGCTGTGTCGATGCTGCTCCATGGTCAAATTCCTTCGCCATGAATGGAACAGGCAGTGTTTTGGGAAGTTAAATCCTGAAGTCTGTCTTGAAACCTTGTCTGACTGGACAGATCCCTCTGCCTGTTTAACTTATGCGAAACCCTTTAATGTCCTGTACTCAGGTGATAATTGGCAGGTATGGAGCACCCTGGGTAGTTGCCATAAATCTAATTTAGCAAGGTGAGTTGATACATGAGAATCAGCCTTGCAGTTCTGATACTTTGTCAGTATTGTGCTGCCTGAGATAATGTGCTGTAATATTGATCCATTGTAAAAGATAATAAAATAAGCATTTTGGTACTACTGATGAATAGGGTTGATTGACACAAGGATTTGTCTTTTTCCACGTTGTATATTTTCATGAAGATAATTTCAGAAATTGCCCATTTTAAAAATAACCTTTTAACTTGTTACACTTGTACTTTCTGTTGTCGTTTTTCTGCACAGAGCTGTCTGGAAAGATAATTCAGGCTATATTGGAGCTGTTGTGCTATGCCTCATACTTTTCAACTGTTCACCTGTGTTGTGTAGAAAAATACCTCCTAGACTTTTTATGTGACCATAATTTTGTGTCAGTTTTGCTCACAATGGGTCCTTTGCTCCAAAAACTCCTTACTTAAAGAAACAGTGAAATCTGTGAAACTGACTGAACAGTGCATGTTTAAATTAATTTACTTAAACAGCTTTGATATGCAAAATGGAGTGTAACAGTTTGTGTAAAGTAGGCTTTTGCTGGGAGGAGGGAGTCTTGAGCTGCTTTTAGAAATAGCAACTGGAAGTTATTTAAAACATACTTGCTTTTTTTTTTTTTTTTTTCCCTTCATCTGTAGGTATGTAGAAACATTATTAAAGGAATTCCATTTATTTTGTAGGGTTGATCCATATGGGTTTGAAAGGCCAGAAGATTTTGATTATGCATCCTATGAAGCATTCTTTTCCAGGTACCTAGTGGTACTCACTAGAAGAGCAATAAAATGGTCCAAGCTCCTGAAGGGGAAAAACAGTATACAGAAGAGTTTAAAAGGTGAGCTTCGTGTCTCTTTATAGGTAAAAGTGCGTTATGCTAGGATTCAATAAGTTTTTCGTTTTGAATGTTGAATATTATTTCTGTCTTCAAATGAAAACTAGTAGTGTAAACAGTAATAATGCATAAGCAAATATGCTTGTTGTCAGAGAGATTTCATTTAAACCTTCCAAAGGAGTAATCCCTCTTCAGCAAACTAATATCTTGTTACATCTGTAACCCAACTATTGTGGCCATTGCCACTCCAAGATGCTCTTTTGCAGCTGTTGGCTGTATTGTGCTCTGTGCCTTATTTAAAAAGACATGAGATTATGTAGAAGATGCTGTCTTGAACCCCAGGGATCAGGATGTAAGTTGCTTCATCTTTGAAAATTCTTTAGGCTGCTGAGATTTTCCAGCTCTCTTTATCCTTCTTTTGTAAAACGATGTGTACCATGCAGCTAAAAAGGTGTGTGCTAAGAACTGATGACAAAATACCTTATGAAGTGAAGAAAGTAAGATTAATGCAGGAGCTAATGCAACATTGGATAAAATGCTGATGGAAGTGTTAATGTCTGCTTCAAAGAGCATGGTAACCTCTAGTAATGTTTAATCTTGCAAGAGATACAGGTAGAAATAAATGGAGAGAGTCAGAAGGTGTTAGGGAATCCTTTGAAAATAAAGGGTGGAGTTTCCTCCCACTCTCTCTCTGGGTTATGCTTTTACATAAGCATCTAAATTATCATGTTTGCTCTAAATGGTGCTAATCAGGTTGCTTTCTCTTTGAGTGTCTTCTGGAGTTGGGCAGAATTCTCTGAAGTATGTTAAGGAAAAATTGAGTAAAACTCAAAGCAAAAATTAATCAGACATTGTAACATAGATGAAGTATTTATAGCTGTGCTCCAAGGTGCAGCCTTTGACTGGTGATTCTGATGGTTTTGTTGTTTTGGGGTTGTTTCTTTTCCTTGGCACCAGAAATTTGATGATAACTAGTGAGACATTTTAAATATAACAGTGTATTTTGTGTACGAACGCCTGTTTTAAGGGTGAGAAATTCCAGAAAATGTAGATTTGAGCTATTACTACTAGATCATATGCTGCTAACCAGAAAGTATCTACTTCTACTATATTATTTTTTCTTACAAATGTAAAGACGCTTTTGTTTGGGGTGTCAAGTTTGAATGTAGTAAGAACTTTGTGCCATTTTGAATTAGTGAAGATTTTGAGGTTTTGCAGAACTTAGTCTTCTAGTTGAGGAAAAGTAATCTCAGTTTTGATTCATACCCTTCTCTTAATGTGTGAGTGGCAACAGTGGCAGCTTTTAGCAATTTCTGTGAGTTAATTTCATTTCTCTTTGTGTTCCCAGTTCTAGCATTTTAGAAACAGAACGTTACTGTGATACTAACAGTGTGAACGCCTTTGTTCTTATTTTGGAGCCAAAACTTTGACCAAATCTCTTAACTTGTCCACCAGGCTTCAGAACCAATGGTCATGCTGTCGCACTGGACATGTAATGTCAGCAGCCTTTAACGTGGCTTTGACTGTTTCCAACAGGCTTCTCTTTTTGAAAACTGGGATTCTATAAATCCACTGAGGGGACAGAGGCAATGGCTCTAGACTGTCACAAGTCCTTGTGAGCTGATGCATCATCTTTGATGTTGCTGACTTTTGCTAAAGATATCTGGCGTTCTAGGCTGTGGAGTCTCACTTATACATGTAATTCCAGGGAGAGTGACAGGAATAAGTAATATTGAGGAAATGTAGTCTGAGTGTAGATTCAGAGTTCTTACAAAAACCTTTCTGCATTAGCCTCATCTGATACCTCAGAGGAAGAGAGTGAAAGGTTGACCTGTGCAATGAACTGATTTTTAAATACTTTCCTTCTCATTTCAGTTTTAAGATTGAAGTCTGTGACATGCACATGGAATTGTGTAAGCAAGTGTGTGCTTTACCCTGCAAGATGATTATGCAGTGATTTCCTTGCAGGCAAACAGCAAGCAGCTCTGCTGGTTGTTCACTGAATTTCCCTCCTCCAGGACCTGACTTCATTGCTATGAAGCTTTGCTCAGAGCTGCCAGCTCTGCCATAAGCTACAGATGAGAAGAATATTTGATTTCCTTCCCCAAACACAGTAGCTGTGAACGAATGTTTTGTGTCCTGCTGCGAGTAGGTATGAGAGAGACACAGTGTATGTGTGGTATCTCAGTAGTTCCACACCCATTTGTCTACACATAGAGAAGCTCATAATTTCTGCAGGCAAAGAGGGAGAAGTGATGACTTGTATTAATTTTCCAGTTGGGAAATGTGGCATGTTCACATGCTACTGGATTTGCCTCATATCCAGGGTGGTTTGTATGTATATAATTCTGTGCCACTATAAAGAAAAATAATTAGGCTATGTTTTAACAATGGTAATTAAGCAGTGCATTCTGCTGTTCTGTATTGCAGCCTGCTGGTAGGGTGGGTCATGGGAATTTGGCTGACAGTTCTTTTCACTCATTCTCCAGTCTCTTCCTGTTTGTTATTTTTCTGGTATTTTGTTTCCCCCCCTTATCTTCACCTTGTTTCCATCACTGCACATGAGTGTTTATAATAATTATTTGTCACTTGCCTTCTTTCTGTCTGTCTCTCTCTGCCACTGCTGAGATCCTCCTAACTTTTTTTTTTGTTTTTCATTCAGCTCTATCTTTAAGACCAAAATACAACTTTCTGCTCTGTTTTGTTTACAGGTGGGCAACAAACTGTCTGACATAGTTGCTCAGACTATCCTAATTCTGACCAAAATCATGCTACACAAAAGAATTTGGCTGTTGGTGTACTAGTCAAAAGTGACCAAGCAGAAGACACTTTCTGATCTTTGATAAAATACAGTGAAAGGGAAAAGTAAATGTATTAAACAGTGGTTTATGACACGAGCACTTCTGTTCCAGCCCGGGGCTAGGTGGAGGGAAAGTCAGTTTGACTGGAACTGCTTTATTCTGGGGGCCAAGTTTATTTCCTCAACATTCAACAGTAATTGTTAGTACCTGAAGAAGTAGAAGTGCAGATGCTTCTCAAAATCACACTCTTCTAATATTTTTAAGATAAGATAATTTTTGGTTTTAAATATTTGGGGTTTTTTTGCTACGTAAACTGAGTCTATGCTGTAGAGTGTAACAATGTTAATGGGGGAAAGGGAATACAACACTTACCTTGAAGCCGAAGTCTCCAAAATTCTCACATTCTACCATCAAACAAGGACAAGCTGGTTGAAATTACTTTTTACATCTTATTACTATAAATAGTGTACAGTATTAGAAAAATGATATTTTCTGCATATTTTTCTCTTGAAGTTACTTTAGGTATTTATCATCTCTTTTAGACTGCTACCCTCTCAGGCAGCTGTTTCTGCTTGTAGAAAGGAAACCACATTCATAAAGTGTGACTCTAAACTTGTGAAACTGACACTCAAGTGTCAGAGGCAATTGAATTATTAAGGGGGGGAAGGTTTCCTAAAAATTTATGTTCCATATTTTGTTAATGAACAGAGAAAAGCATTTTACCTAAAGATATTTCTTACCTATGTATGTTCTAGAATTTAGCCCACATACTATGATTGTCCTGGAGGTGATTCTGTGTGCAGTGTTTGGGGGTGTTCAACAGTGCTGCTTTTGAGATTGAGCCCTTGGTTTACAACTGGCATTGGATGTGGGTGGAGACCCATCCATGACCTGGCTTCATCTGGGAAAGCTTCTCAGATGGTACAGTGGGAGGATATTCTGCAGTGTGAACTGTTGTTGTGGGCTTCTTAGTTCCCAAGGATAATGTGGAAGAGAGTCTGTATATATATTTGTATAAACACAATTCTCTGTATAGAATATTTCTTATCTACATATATAAATTATACCTATTAAACTGCAGCACTCCTTTTCAAAACTACTTTGCTGCTTCTGAATGCCGGTTTACAGATCCCAGCAAGTATTATAATGGTGTGAGGGAAAAAAAGCACAATGTAAAGGGTTCTGGCATTCCTCAGGGAGTGAAGGAGCTGGGTCAGTAGTCACTTGGGGTCATACAAGCCCCTGGCTATTGCCATGAAAACAAGGACACTGAGGAGTAATGAGTGTGTGCTGTGCTGCAGGCTGCTTTCCCCTTGTGCCACTGTCAAAGGCTTGTCCATGCTTCTCTTGAATTTAATATGTGTTGTTGGATATCAGTGTTGGCTATGCTTCCAGAATTTGCAGTTGTTCCAGAAAAAAATACTGTTGTGATTATGTGTTAAAATGTGACAATCCAGTATTTTAGACAGTAAATTTGTTCTTAGGGTCATCTGAATGTCTCTTGTTAACCTAAATGGTAAAGACTGGTCCTTGATAGTCATTCCTGTATTATTTGCTATGACAATTTATAGGATTTCTTGAGCATTAGAGTTCAAAGTCTTGTAAAAAAGATGAAGTGGGGATTATTAAACCACCATGGAAACAAGTGAATTATTTCCAGCCTAAAAGAAGGTTGTAGTTAAGGTAATTTTACAGCTAGAACTGTAGAGTCTATAACTTGTAATATAAATCCTCATTGAAAAGCTAAACAGAAATTGTACCCTGAAGACCAGGCATTTATTACAAATATGTTTCTTTGAGAGACACCACCAGATTTTAGGTGGGTGCAATGCTAATTATATGTGCATGTTTATGTTGGGTGGCACGGGGGAAGCAGCTTTGGGTCCTAAAGGATAGGCAGCTGTAATTAGGTGGAATGTATTTAGAAGGTGTCTGGCTGAGTTGTACAACCTTGCTTCACTCTGCTGTTTTTAAGACCTTTAATTTAGGCAGCATTTATTACAGAACTGTGTGATTCAATAAAACCTGGCTAGGTAGTGATATTGTGTGTGGGCGGAATAAAAATTCCCACTCAGATTTGAGTCCCATAAAATTTAGAGAGAAGAAGCTGATGCTTTTATTGATACAACATGATTCATTTAGTATGAGATGTCTGTTTCATTTGTCATTTTCTTCTCCCTGAAAAAAAGGAGAAGAATCTCAAACATTCAGCTGTCTTTCTGGGTCAGAAAAGGTAATGCTGATTTAGGATTATGTACCCATAAGCAGCATTGACTCCTTATTAATATTTTTCATACCATTCCCAGGAGGAAGTTGCTTTCATTGCCTGATGCTTTTTCCTGTAATCTCGCATCATAGTTATTTACACTGAATCATCTGCTTTAAAAAAAACCCTGAAGCACACCCTTATGATGAAAATGATGCAGGAGATAAGAGCTACTTTAGATTTGAAAAGGCTTCCACAGCTATTCTAGGAAAAAGTCATCTGCTGCTCACTCACATCTCCAGTTTTTCCAAGGCTCATTTAGACAGGAGGCACATATTTCATATTCCTCAGTTTCTGCTGTATTTCAGTGGTCAGGGGCTGAGCTGAAACCCTAGGGTTATGGTAACATGGCCATCGATGTTAGAGCTGAATGGGCAGAGCCATCATATCAGAGTCCACTGGTGATGTAGGAAGAGTCAAGTCAGTGCTTGTCTGAATGAAAAAGGACAAAGATCAAGGGGAAACTTTGCTGCTTGTATCTCCATTCAGAAAAGTAGAAGAGGAAGGGATTAAAAATTCTAACAAGGGAAGAGAGGAGGGAGGAAAACTGGAGTCTGAAGATCTGAGGGGGGAGTCTGAGTGACAAGAACTTAGGAGTGAATCTAAAATATACTATGCAGCTGAGTGAATCTAAAATATACTATGCAGCTGAGAAGTAAATGCTTATCCTAAAATGGTAGCATAGGACAGAAAATATAATTATCTCCAGTCAAGAGTTTTCCTATGACTTCTTAACTTCAGGCTGCTCATTTAAAGAAGAATAATGCAGATGGATTTTTAAAAAATTTATTTAAAAATGAACAAACAAAACCAAACTTCTTGTCTTGCAGTGAAGAGATATATCAGGAAAGGCATCCCCAATGAACACCGTGCATTGGTCTGGATGATTGTGAGTGGGGCCCAAACCAACATGGAACAAAACCCTGGGTATTACCACAGACTGCTTGAAGGAGAGAAGAATGCCAAGCTGCTTGAAGCAATCAAAACAGGTTATTCTCTTGATAATGCTATTTATCTGTATTTATCCATCCTCTGTCCTTAAGTGGTAGAGATCAAGTTATGTCATGGAAACTTAATATTTCTGTAGTAGTGGTTTAAGTGCTGAATTAACACTTAAATTAGATTAGCCATAAGCTCTTTAACAGCACAGATCTTTCCAGATTCATCATGTGGTTAAAAGCATTAAGGAATGCTTTTAAGGAAGATTAGAAATTATTTGAGAAGGAATAAACTAGAAAACATTACAGTGTCATCTAAGTGATTGAAGAGTTGTAACTTTGAGCCATGACACCTGCCTTTGAGTGTGTTTCTCCTTAATTTTGTCCCATAGGACACTGGAGAAGTAGCAGGGATGGTTGAAGATATGGTACAGAGGCCCATATGAGGCAGGTGAAGAATGCTAGGGTTTCAGGTTGAAAGATAGATTTATATGAATTATAAATGGTGCAAAGAGAGTGAATGAGCAGTAATTGTTACTTGTTTCTTGTAACATAAGAACCAAGGACACTGAATGAAATTTGCCATGCTGCAGGTTTAGAAGAGTTGTGGCACTTGTTACTGTGCTGCAGAGGTTAGAAGTATGAACTGGTTTTAAAACGAATTTGATAAACTGGGAGTTGGGGGCATCCACTTGATGCATGAAATATTAAACTAAATGTATTTACTAAACGTAAATCCCTGGGAGATATGTAGGAGGTGAAACACCTCTCCTCTGCTAATCTGTTTCCATGTGTGCTTTCTGTGAACACTGATGATCAGTGGCAATACTGATGGCAGGGTATAAGGGCAGCCAGACCTTAGGCTGGCCCACTGGGAGGAAAAAGGCAGTAGGTGAGGACAAACAAGTAGGAGTTTGATGTAACTGATACTTGTCCTGAAACCTGTTACAGCAGAGCCTTTGTAGTGAAGCTATATTGCTGAACTGGGCTAATTTGCCCAATTAAAAAGTCAAGAGGTTGGGCTCTGCTCCAGAACAATGCTGAGGTTGTTTGGTTAGAAAGGCAGGTTGTCTATTTCCTCTTGCAAAAACCCAGGTACTTAAAGTTTGGGCTTTATGGATTTTTATTCGAGTTGGATAAGCATCCGAACACTTTTGGTTTATGCAGAGTTTCTTCTCTGCCTTTCCCTGCAACAGCATTACTTTGTGCTTTTGGGACTACACGCCTTAGTAAGGTATTTTGGAGCATCAGCTTCATGTTTCTATGAATAATGGAGACTAGCCAGAAATATGCAGGCTTATATCCTGCTCAGAACTAGAAACAGTAGAGCTCTTACTATGAATGAAGAGGGAGCTAGTAAGATGACTTTCTAAAGCCTGCCTTGATAAGGGCCTGGAGAAGCATCAAACTATTCAATTGGGGTAAAATTGCTGCAAGAGAGAGTTGAAAACAACTTTTTTTCAGTACTAGACAAAGACATGAAGGGCCAGGAGGTGGCTTTCCACACAGGTTAAAATGAAATAAAAATATTTTTGTGGGGGAGGAAAAATCCTGGGAGGTGATAAAGATCTATTTGTGAACTATGGAGGAAAAAAGTTTCAGAAGAGCTACTGCATTGATTGGAAACTGCAGAAGAGAAAATTAACATGGAGCAAGTGAGGGAAAAGATAAAGAAAAATGTCTTGGAATACTTTATTGGAGGGGAAAAAATATGAGGACCTCAGGCACTCATCCTTCAGAAAGGAAGAACCAATGTGGACATAGGAGGAATGGAAGGAACAGAGTTTTTAAGGTGAATGTAAACTTTCTGGTTAGTGTGTTTAATAAACTTGTGCTCCTGTTGACTGTGCACATTTTATAGTAGGCTTTGGCTGAGGACTCTGGTGTGAATTGTTGCCTTTCATTTTGTTTCTTCAAGTATTGTTCTCCCGTTACTGTAGTTGTTTTTAGTAATAAAGCAAGGTAAGATGTAGAATCGTACTGCTGTTTGCTTTCTTGTTTGTAGTTTCCAGAATTTTCAGTCAACTGTGCCATATTTACTCTCACAGCTGTAAAGTTGCAACCCAGCACAGTGCTGGGGTTAATAAACAAGAGAACAGCAATCACACTTCTTTCTTTTTTCCCACGGGAGGGGCAGGAGGACAAGGCCAACCAAAGACTTTATTTCAAATTCAGTTAAAAATGTGTAAGAGCCAATGTGTCCTCTTTCTTTCACGTGCCCAGAAGCTGCAAACAATTTTCATGTATGTTTGAAACTTGTTTTCATGTGAGAAAGTCTTTAATGTGGTATAATCAGGTTAAAAAGGGCAGGTAGACTGTGTGAAGAAATGGTCTAATCTTCAAAGAAAAATCTGCTTAGTAATAGCAACGGAAGTCTTTCAACTAATTAAATCTGTAATCTCTTCTTTCACCATTTTTTCCCTTTAACTTTGTGATTCTGAACTGATGAGCTTTATTGCTACTGTGTTTTATATGGTACTTGCTGTTGGAACATTTTTGTTTATTTAAGAAAAATGTAGGAGGGAATGGGCTTCTTACTCTAACCATTAAAAAGGAGCTTAAAGAGTGCAGGTGCCTAAATTTTTGTGTCTTAGTTTAGGTACACATTTAGAAGGGCATGCATTCCAACAACACTTTGCTTTTCATGACCTATCATAGGAAAGTTTAGTAGGACAAATGATGTTGTAAGATAAAAAGTGGCTGTCCTTCTAATGCAGAGGGTACATGCTGGGTGTAAAACGACTGGAGTGTAAGTTGTAGCTTCCCTGGGTAAACTCCCCTTAGGCTGGGCCATTTTGAATTTTAGCTCTTGTTTGTTGCCTTTTCTCTCCATTGAAAAAACACTTTTGGACAGAAGTGTGTCTGTGTCTGCAGGTGCTCAGGCATTTACATGCAATCTGTGTTTCCATTCTTGCATTTCATGAGGAGGAGTTGTAGGTGCTGTGAAACCTACAATTTGATACTTATCAGTCATTCCCAGAGCCTGAGCTGTGCTGTGTGAAGCTGGCATAAGGATCTGACTGTGGATAGGACGATAGTTGCAGGATCTTAATTGAGCTTATGATGGGTTCAGAAAAGTAATCGAAAAATGGTCATTGCCATTTCACTGGAGACAGGGAGTATTTTACTATCAAAGCACTAAGAGTTTCTCTGAAGCTTTCCTGAAACTGAATGGAAGTTGGGAATTTTCAGGTGAGTTTAAAATATTTAACCATGCAAGAGGAAGGGGAAGAGCCCTGTCATCTCTTCTGGCTCTCTGTAAGAGGAGCCCTATTAGGTCATATCCAAACAGCTGCCTTATCTGCTCTTTGGTCTACCAGAACAGCTGAAGGGAGACCTGGAGGAGTAAAGTGTGTAGTGACATTTCCTCAGAATGTTTTTCCCAGTATCCAGTTATCTGCTGTTTGGAGAGTTGCCAAGACATATGCTGCATGATTGTACCTAATAATGCTGGGTGGGAAAAAATTCACAAAAACCCTTCTGGTTGCTCCTTTTTCATGTTGTTTACCTTCCTTATGATTTTGCAGATTTGAGCTGTCTCAATGCTGTTAAGCATCTCCCTCTAAACTAAGGAGCTTTTATCCACTTGGCTTTATGCTATGTATGGTAGCCATTTTATATCTGTGGTCTTCCTTGTTGTCATTCTTTTCTCTAATTTCTCTAATTCTGGTATCTTCTGGAGATGAAAGGGACTGGAATTTATGCATGTGCTTCTCGGATTTATACAGTGGCAATATTGTTCCTTTGTAAGAAATCCTAACTCTTCAGGCTTTGATTGCTGAAAGCTCTTGTACTGTTACTTGGTAGTGGGGATTGTGAGGCTCAATTTTTCTGACTTTAGTTAATGACAAACTTGGCCTTAATTTAAAACAAACCCCCGAAGCCTCCAAAACAATTTATAGTTCCAGGTGTTGCAGGGAAAAACTTGAAGATGACTGCTAAATACCCAGTTATAACAAATCTAAAACGCCCTTTTAAGTATACTGTCTTTACAAGTTGCAATTTATGGCCTAACCTCATTGTTCTGGATTTGCAGTGGTTTTTGAGTGCTTGTAGTTGAAGTGAACTTTTGCTCTGCTCTTTACTATGTAAAAAAAAAAAAAAGAAAAAAATTACCTGCCTGGAAGCGCTTCAGAGCAGATGCACATCACAGATGTAGCAGTGGCAAAGAAATGTCCGTAGGTGGAGTAGGATATGTTAATTATAAAAATACTTGTGTAATTTACTGACCACCTGTATCTTGGAGTGGGAAGCACCTGGGTATGAAAGTAAAAGTGCCATGGTTTAAGAAATGTATTCTTAATGTAAGCACTCCCACTAAAACCACGTGTGGGTTCCTCTCCCTGCCTCTAGTTGGAGATAAGAACAATTTACTGGAAACAGCAATGAGATACAAAAATGAATAGTAACAGCAACAACATTGATAATAAAAGGTATACAAAACAATTCACACAGAAAGAAAACAAATTATAATAGACAGTACCAGGTGGCTCACTGCCACTTTTCTACTGGAGGGAACCCCTTCTCCCTGGAAGACAGTCCCTTTATCAGGCCCCTGGCAATGACAAGGTGGTATAGAGCAACCTCCAGGCCCTATAGCCACACCCTTTCCCAACTACTGCAGAAATTAACTGCCCTGGCTGGAATCAGAACAAAAAGGAAGGATGAGATAGCAAGGTGAAGAAGGTTGTCTTGTAGATGCATGACTTTTCAAGTAGGAACTAGGGAAAACACAAGACTGGTTCCAAAAGCATTGGTTTTCTGGACTGCACTTTCAGATCTCTTTGCTCCAGAAGTAGCATCAATGACAGTGGTTCTTGGTACTGAAATAGACTGTCTGTTTTATAAGCTGAGTGTTCTGCCTGTTTGTGTTACTGAATGAAGCAGAAATAATGCAGACCTGTGAGAGGGAAGAAAGAAGCCAATGGTCTTCTCATGGTAGCTGCACAGAGATAAATCAGCAGGAAAGCTGGTGGTTGGTTTTGTTTCATAGCAGCATAAAACTGCCAGCTCAGAGAGCTGAAAGATTGTAAAAAAATTTCTATTGGGATTTAATCTGAATTTACTACAAAAGAGTAGCTAGTCTTCATTGTGACCTTCTTCCTGGTTCTGTACTCCCATACCTGCTTTATTTGTTAGCAGCAGATCTGCACATAATGACAAGATAGTAATAATTTTGGGATTTATCTAGCAGTGTAAGATTCTAATGTTCATTTTACTCCTTGAAAAGAACCCTGATTTATTTTTTTTCCCCCCCAACCTGGACTAGTTTAAGGCTGTGTTCCTTTGGACAGTAATGTCTATTAAGAGCAAAGCAGGTTAATGGACAGTAGGTCAGAGGGCAGGATGTGAAGAGCATGAGGAGGAGGTGTTTGGATGTCTCCCCTGGAACAGCTGTATTGAGGGGGATGTAGTGATGAAGCCAAGTGAACAACCCTGACCTGTTCCTGCCTTTTGTCTCAAGTCATCTCTGACCCTCATCTTGTAGCATGGTAAAACGTATGGGCTCATGCGTGCCTGGGGAGTGGGTTGAGTTCCCCCACCTTGAGGTTGTTCAGGTCCTCTCGAATATTGTCTTTTTTTGTGTGTTTTTCTTCTCATTCACATGAGAGGTGAAATATTTTCCTACAAATGATTCCCTTTAAAAGGAAGAAATAGGGATTAGTGATAACTTCTTCATGCATGTGACTTCCACTACAGTACTCATGATTTTGGGGAGCTTTCTTCCTTTGGTTGCTTACAGCTGAACTTTGTGTCAAAGCTGTAACAGACTTCTTTCTTTATGCCGGAAAAGGCTGATAAAAAGTGATAACTCTTAGGACATGAAGATCCGTACAGAGGTGCTGTTACTGATGTTTGTTTTTAACTTTAACCCAATTTGTTGTTGTTAAATACAACCCAAACAACTACTTATATTTTATTAATAACTCTTGGGTTTTGAAAATCTGCAAAGTTATTCTTAGGTGTTTAGAAGTTGGAGAGAAAAATTCTATTTAAAGATCAAATGCACAAGTCTATGCAAGTGACCTTGGGTTCTCTCTCTATGAAGTGAAGCAGGGCAAAAATTAACTCTGCCTGTTTCTTTCCAACAACTAAGGGCTGTTGTGGAGTGACTAGCTCAAACTTGCATGTCTAATTTTTAGACCTTTGTAACGAGAGATGAGTCCTACTAATGTTTGGTCTGAAAGAAATTAATGGTTGGAAATGTCAGTAATTGCTGCTCCTTACTTGGTTAAGAATTGAGCTTGAAGCATGTGGGAATGTGCTCTGCTGCTTGGTTATCAGAAATCACTCCCATTCTTGATGATCTTGCACCAGTAAAGATGCAGCTTTTCTCATGATCACATTATGGAGAAAGTTAAATTTTAAAAAGTTATTTTTAAGTAGAAGTCAGCAGCTATGGGAACAGGTCTGGGGTTTTTTGGCTGCTGCTGTTTGGTAGAAGTTCGCTGAGTAAGTCAGTTGAAAGTTCATCTGATTTGTTACGAGAATATGCTGTCCTGGAAGCACAACTCACTTCATGCCACTTGACTTGGTACGTTTGTCATGTCTCGTGTCTGTCAGTCTAAATACCAGGTTTGCTTTCATTTAGGCCTTTGCAGTCAGACATGGAGCGAGTCCAATCTGCAGGAGGAATTTCTTTAGGCCTGCTTGAAATTGAAATTGGTACACTAATAGGATTATTCTTTCTAGGAATAGATTATCCTTGAATGCAAGTGCCCTTTTAGCCAAAATGGAGGTAAAGCTTTTTTTTAAAATTAATCTGCCAAAAACAGTTCAGTGGACCATAGTGAAGCTTCATTTATACTTCAGAAGACCTGTAAAAGTTTTTGGGAAAGTGACAAGGAACAGCTCTTAATTTTGGTCTTTTTCCCTTTTGTCTAGACATGAACAGAACATTTCCAGATAATGTAAAATTCCGCAAGACGGCTGATCCGTGTTTGCAACACACACTCTACAATGTATTGGTTGCCTATGGGCACCATAATAAAGCAGTAGGATATTGTCAGGTATGTAATCATTGTTTTGCAAACCATGCTGCATTTCACCAGTGGTAACTTCCTGTCCGTTTGAATGTGTGTTTTTAGAAGCACGCCCACAAATTATTTCTGTTTATGAACTGGCCCTGGGAGGTTGGGGGGGGGAGAGGCGGGACATGAATAGCTTCAAGCAAATTCAAATTTCCTTCTGAATTTCTCAGTGGCTGTTCTCATAGCCATCTTGATCAATTTGGTACTGTTTGCTAGCTGCAACATACGTATTTTATCACACGTGGTTGTATGAAGAGTAGTTGCTTTGGAGAACAAGAGGAAGTGAGCTTGCCTTTCCCTCCTCCTGCTATCTTTCCCCAAGCAGTCCTTGATATGTACAAGGCATCATGACATCTCAATTTCCTTTATTTTCACGGTCACATTTTTCAGAGTACAGAAAGACCAGCACTAATGTGGTGTCGTGTACTTGGGGACTGGTAGCATTTATTTAGTGCCATCTCCCAGTAGAGCTAACACAAGTAGGAGTAAAGTTTCTTTGAAATTCAACCTGATACTGCTTTGATGGCAGCTCAAGAAAGCTTCTTTTGTCACTGTCAAGTACTGTAGAGTTTCCTGTGGGACACAGAGAAGATAAGTTGATTCATGAAAGTCTATGACAGTCAAGGAAAAAAGCATCTGCCTTTAAGGATTATAAAGAAGCAGGCACTGCCATGAGCAAAATGTATTTTCAGTTCGCTTATGAAGTCCTCTCCTGTCTCCTTCACTTCCTGAGCAAAAATGTGTGTGCTAACATGTAGCTCATTTTAGCTGAGAAAGTTAGTGTAGTAAATACAATACTCCAAAGCTGAAAGAATATGAACAGTATTTTTTTAAACTTTGAGAGAAGACTTAGAGGGACTTAAACCTACACTGAAGTCTCTAAAAATATATTTTTCTTGTGTACCCCAACTAGTTTTAGTTCAGAAATTATTTACTTCCATTCTTCAAAAGATGAGTAATTTCTATGATTTTCAGTAATATGTATTTTGATAAATATAATTTTAATATTTTGATAATAACAGAAGGGGAAGAATTATGAATACTCACTTTTGCAAGTGTCAGGTTTCTATATAGAGTTGGTCATGCACAACATAACACACAACTTCTAAACCATAGTAGTTTCTATGTGTCCAATTGTTAATAAAATATTTTGGTACCTTTTCTGTTTAATGGGAAAAGAAGAACACTTAAAAAACCCTTGTGTGGGTTCTTTGCACATCTGGTCTCCTCACAGGATCAGTGCTATTGTATGTATATGTGGAGTACTGGAGGTATTATGGAAGAAAACTGTACACACTTTGTAGTGCTCATCTAATACAGCCGTGTTTGGGTTCTGATCTTTAAGCTTCTGATCTTTCTAAGCTTTAAGTTGCATTGGGCTTTGGAATTGACAAAAAAGCAAAATTGAAAGTATAGACTGCTAAGCTTTTTCTTTTAATTTTCATCTCCTTGATCTTTGTTAATAATTCTTGTTAGCTGTTGTCATGCAAGTTTAGCAGGTTACTCAAACAGTGGCCTTTGCTATTAGAATTAATATGTACACTTTGTAGAACTGTAGTAATTTAGTCCTTAATCAAAAGAATTAAGCTAGAAATTCTTTAGATGAGTGTATGCATCTCAAAACCCTTCTTTCTATTTCAGGGCATGAACTTCATTGCTGGATACCTGATTCTTATTACAAAGAATGAAGAGGAGTCATTTTGGTTGCTAGATGCTCTTATTGGAAGAATATTGCCTGGTATGTTAAAAACATAGTTCTATCCATATATTGGAGCTTGGCTTGTATCTTTGCATTCTTCTCCAGTTGTAGACAGTATCTGCATCTGGTCTGTTCAGTAGCTCTCTGAGTTCCCTTGCCTGGATCTGTGGGTTTGCAAGGAGGTGTTTACACAATCAGTTTTGCCCCATGTATAAGCTGAACCTCCTGCACATGTGAGGTAGTTTAAAACCAGAAGCAGATACCAGGCACAGATGTAATTTTTACTCCTGTGAAATGCATTTGGGAATGTTTTTTCTTGGGATTTAATTATAGGGGGAGAATGGTTTTATTGTGAATTCCCATAAGCATTGCACAGGTCTGACTACAGATACACCTTTAATGTAGGTGGAAGACCAGTGGAAAACGGAGGGCTAATTCTTTATTAGTCTGGTTTTGCTTTTGCAGAGATTTTTGTCTCAAATGGTTGGAGATAGAATTTAGTATTACATTGTCAACTAGGTACTGGTCAAGGACATCAAGGTTGATTGAAACTTTCACTTTTCCTTCTGTCTGTTTATGTTTAAGATCAAACAAAAAAAGAATTTTGGTTCCCTATTGAATAGAAAGGAAAAACCTTGAGAAATAAAGAAGAATAGCTGAAAGATTATTTTCATGCTTTTGAATGACTGTAAGAAATTATTTTACACTGAATACACCATGTAGGGACTTGGATTTTCCTTGTGTGGAAACAGTGGTTGGACTTTGTTTCCAGACTGAAAGAGTAGAGACAGGCAGGGAATGTTATGAGTTGTTGAATCAGTCTGCAAATATTTAACATTATATAGCCTTGAAGTTTACTTTCAAGCTGTAAAAATAGTCTGAAGAAATCAACTGTTTGTTGCTTTTGTTTAGCCTTGAGAGCTCTAAGCTGTGCAAACAGGCAGGAGACAGGGCTGCTGTCTGCTCTGGGACCTGCCACTGCCTGGCATGGGTGGATGTCTGCTTTGACATCACTGTGTCAGGGATAAGGCACTCGGTAAAAGGCAGGTTAATTGTGATGTGTGGGAACTCTTGTTGTTAATCCTTTCAATAGTCTTACACACTTTTATTTAAGGCAAAGGAGGTAAAGTCAGAATTTTATGTTTGTTGTTTTTGGTAGGAAACCTAATCCACTTTATCAGAAAAACCTTCATTTTTATATATGCTTCTACACATTACTGATACTTGTGGCAAAAGTTGCTCTTATTTTTCGCCTCCTAGCTGTTTACTTTATCTTAGGCAAGTAGCATTGGTGATGAGAAGAAATTCATAACATGAAATGCAATTACTGTGTATAAAGGAGGTGTATATTTACTCAAGTTATAGGTATATTTTTACTTTTCTGTAACAAGATTGTTGCTACTGACTTTAGCGTGGGTCCAGCTGGGCAATGTGAATCTTCTATATAGTATAAACATTTGTATTGAATAATACAAGGTGTTACTGACAGAAAACTTGTTGCTGATGCTCTTTCCCTCCCCCAGCTATTCCCAACACTCTCCTATATAGTTTGATTTTTGTATTTATAAAAGTCAAAGCATGACATAAAAAAATAACTGGCATAATTTCAGTGAAATACTGTGTGTGCATATGTGAAAGAATCAGACAGACCATATTCATAAAGCAACTCAGATAAATAATTACTGCCTTTCTGTTAGTGCAAGGTATTGCACATTTCAGTTTTAAGCCCTATAATTATTAGGGAAGCAGAGAAGCACTGTATGTCTCAAGATCTTGTAGATCTTGAGTGTTTTCCAGATCTTCAGAGGGAAGACTAGGAATCAGTTATGCTGTATGCTGACAGTTTCATTGGCCAACATTATCTATTCGTTTGGTTGCTGATTTGATTTTCTTGATTTGTTTGCATTATAATATACGTGTTTTCCCCCTATTGTTGCACCAAATATGCCTCCAGGTTATGTCCTCATTTTTGAGTGTGTCCTGTCACTGCCAGTTAAATCACTGGTGCTTTAGGAAAATTTAGAAATCCATTCTCTGCCCTCTGCTGTGTCCCTGTGGGTGCTTCCTCCCCTGCCCACACGTGTTTAATTACATTAAACAGATCCTCCAGAGCTGTGGTGCTGACAGTGGTTTTTTTGGTCAGCACATGAACTAAGCCAGCCACAGATCAATGTCATTGATTGAAAAATGTACAGTGTGACAGATGGGAACATTCTGAGGAAGTGACAGAAAATGGGACTCCATCAGTAAAGGTTTTCTGGCTGAATTGTTCTGTTACAAATGGAGATAATGCAGCTGGAAGAGAGAGCCAGTAAATTAGACTTTGGTTGATTGGTCAGAGGAGTTGTGTGCATGCCTTTCATTTGGCTGAACTGCTGGGTACAGCTGGGTGAGGCCAGAAAGTTCCTGCTTCTGCTGAGGGCAAGCCCATGCATTTCTGCCTTTTGTCTGTCAGCTGCTCAGCCAGGGATTTGGAGGGATTATCATTTAAACACAGCAGGGGGGAAGAGAACTACTTGTTTAACTGAAGTTTTGGGTGTTCCCAAATTTTTTTTTATTCCCAGGCTCAGTCAGATAGCTGGAGCAGACAGCATTGCCCACAGGAAGCAGTATAGATTGAATTCAAGCACAGAGTAGATGTGCCTGCAGTTTGTACTCAGCAATGCTCTGATGTTTCTGTTCTGTTCATCACCCTGATTCTTGTTGAGAAGTTCTGGGGATTTTTTTGTTCTGTTAAGGAAAGAGTGGGGAGATTGCTTTAGAAAGCTTTGGGTAGGTAGAATCTTTTAACTGTGGTACCTCAGTATGTGAGTATACTTGTCATATTTTACATATTTGTGATTAAATGGTGAGCTTATGAGTAGAAAAACTCAACAATTTGGTCTCACTTTAGCATGATAGTTATGCTTATATATAGAAGAATAATCCCCCCTCCCACCTTCAATGGTTTTCAGTCTGGAAGCAATTGTGTATATCAACCTATACTCTAACTAGTCTACTGGACTATTATACTGGAATCACTCTTACTGAAAACTAGTTGTAGAATACTTCTCTGGTTAAGAGCAGTCTCATGAGTTCTGCACTACCCTGTTCATGGCCAATTTGGTATCCTTTTATTCTAGTGTCAATGCTGACTTTTGGAGGTGAGAAAAGTCCCCCTCTCTTTTGTGCTTACTTTTCATGTATTTGTGGGATGCAGTCAGTTAATTTTGGCAGTTTTTTGTATGGCTAAGCCCCTTCAGTCAAACTCTTCTCTTGCATGAAACTTTTCTCTGTTCCTGTTTTAGCCTAATAATTATTGTGTGCTTTTTCCAGTTTGAATTGATTTTTCAATTTATTTTTTTAAACCTGATCACAATGGCACACTTTTATTTTCCATTGGAGAATCAGCTAGTGGCTCTTTTCACAGTAGAAAGTGTTTTGCTTAAGAGAGGAAAGCTGTAGGATTTCCCTTGCCTTTTTTCTCTAGTGAGACTCTGGTTTTGATTTGTGGTCTCCATCATAATGCATGTGCTGTTCCTTCTCTCTCATTGTCAACAGATGTTTTCTCCACAGTATTTAGGAATTCATCACACCTTTTTGCTGAACTTTATTTACACATTCTTGTTCTTGTTATTTTAAATGTCATCATGCCCCCTACGCCAGTCTTTCCACTATTACTTTGTTGTGTATTGACATGGGTCAGTATCTCTTAGTTTAGGGTTGTCAACAGATACTAGCTTTTTCTTTTTCTCCAATGTTCTTAATAAAAATCTTAAATGAAGTGTAGCATTCTTGAAGAATCTTCCTTCAGCCTCATTACTTTTTAGGAGCTTCTTCTAAAATTTTTTTACCCACGTGCTACAAAAATTTTAAAAATACTAAAATATAAAAAATTAAAAGAGCAGAGTTTTGAATGATGAAATAGTCACCAAAGTAGTAGACTGTACTGAGATAACTGGCATTAGCTGCAAATGCACAAGGTGCAAAGCCAGGTGCCACTTTGGTGTGTAGTGTAGTGACTGCTGGTTAAGGCAAGTACCTGCATGCTGAGATAACAGATATCTCCCATGTTTGTTCGGCTCTCTGGCTTGCAATTGTATCAGCCAGAAACTCAGAGGTTGCACAAGAGATTAGGCACATAAGAGACATAAATATTTGAACTGAATGGCATCATAGCTACGTATCAAACTCTTGAATATCCTTCTCTTTTGAGTGATTCATGTTATAACAATCTTTCAAGTCCCATCATACAGACTTGCAGGTTAGAAGGGAAGGACCACTTGGGAAATGAAGAAGGCTGTACGAAGATGTAAAGTATTTCTATTTAGACTGTTGGCTTTTAATTGCAGTTGAGCCTGTATTTATTTTGTTCTTGTGGATGAATTTATTCAAATACCCTAATTGGGTATTGCCAGGGAACTTCTGAATGCAGAACTGACTTGGCAACTGCATCTTTTCAGACCTGCATCTCCAAAGGGAGTTGAACTCTTCACAGGAAGCATTTTTATTTAGCTGTGCAGGTAAAAACACTGCTAGACCTAAACCGAGCTGAATTTGCAGCCTAAAATGGGGACTGTTGTGCTAAAAAGCATTTCCTTTCAGAGAGAAGACTTGAGCACCTCAAGTATGTGCTTTTGGTGTGGAAAGCTCCTTTCAAGGCTATATGTGACATACATGACACCATGTTTGCAGAGTAGTTTTTGACAACTGAGCTTTTTTTTATAGTACCATCAACCCAGAAAATTTCAGCAGATTGATCAGTTCTGGGCTGCTTCTTTATTTTCTTCCTCTGGCAGCACTCAGCTACAGGTCTGTGAGTTGGCAGTATTCTTACTCATCCATGGAGTTCCTTGATTGCATTTGAAGCCATAGTGGTGTGCCCCTCTGGCCTCCAACATCACATCTGGTCCTCAGAGACAGGAGCATTTTGCTGGTCAGCTGAACAATTCAGAGTTTTGAAATATGGGACTCCATAATGTTTTACTGTTAACCCCCAGCCACGATGAAAGCATTAATGTTTGAGCATTCGAGGTCAGTTGAATATACCTAGGAATTAA